TTCACTGGAGAATTTCACGAAACATTCAGGGAAGAGTTAACACTTAAACTACTCAAACTATTCCAGAATATAGAAAAAGATGGAATATTCCCCAATTCATTTTAGAAGCAAGCATTACACTGATACCAAAACCAGGGAAAGACACCAATAAAAAGGAAAACTACGGACTGATATCCCTCACAAATATAGATGCAAAAATCTTCAACAAAATCTTAGCCAACAGAATACAATAACACACACACACACACACACACACACACATATATAAAATACATCCTGACCAAGTGGGATTCATACATGGTATGCAAGGATAGTTCAACATTAGAAAAATAATCCATGTAATCCACCACATAAACAAAACAAAACAAAAGAAGCATATGATAATATCAATTGATGCAGAAAAGGCATTTGATAAAATCCAACACTCATTCCTGTTCAGAACTCTCAGCAACATATGGATAGAAGGGAAATTCCTTAACGTAATAAAGGGCATCCACAGAAAGCCAACAGCCAACATTATTGTTAACAGAGAAAGACTCAAAGCATTCCTCTTGCAAGTGGGAACTAGACAAGGATGCCCTCTATTACCACTTCTACTTAATATTGTATTGGAAGTCCTAGCCAGTGCAATAAGGCAAGAAAGAGAAATCAAAGGCATCCAAATTGGCAAATAGGAAGTAAGTGTATGTATGTAAATTCTGTGTATGATTCTATACACAGAAACCCTAAGAGACTCAGCAAAAAATTACTGGAACTGATAGAGAGATTCAGCAAAGTGGCAAGATACAAGGTCAGCATACAAAAATCAGTTGGTTCCCTCTACATCAACAAAGAGGCTTCTGAAAAGGAAATAAGGAAAAATACCATTTACAATAGCTACCAAAAAGACAAAATATCTAGTAATAAATCTTATTAGAGACACAAAGACCTGTACAAAGAAAACTACAAAACACTACTACAAGAAACTATAAGAGATCTACATAAATGGAAGAAAGTGCTTTGTTCATGGATAGGAAGACTGAATATTGAGAAAATGTCAATATTACCCAAAGCAATCCCAATCCAGATACCATCAACATTTTTTAAGGATATGGAAAAACTAATTATTAACTTCATAGAGAAAGGAAAGAGACCTTGGATAAGCAAAGCACTGCTGAAGAAGAAAAACAAAGTGGGAAGTCTAACACTCCTGGATCTCCAAACCTACTATACAGCCACAGTAATTAAAACAGCATGGTATTTGTACAATGCTAGACACCAATGGAACAGAATCGAAAACCCAGAAATAGACTCATCCATCTATGGACAGCTGATATTTGAGAAAGGACCAAAACCCATTAAATGTGTCTTCTAACAAATGGTGCTGGCAAAATTGGATATC